ACACTGGGAATGTAGCTAAGCTTGGCTCAAAAGATCAAATTATTGCTAGTTTAGAACACCTCGGTATGTTTCGAAAGACTTTTATCTAACTATGTTGTACTATTATCTGGATGAACTCTCTTTGAGTTTCTGCTTTACAGTCCCAATGCATGAGATATGGCACATCTTTGTAGCAAGTAATAGATTACGATGTTCGGACACCTTCATCACAACTGCATCAAATTCTTAAACTTTGAAGCATCTTTCACATGCACCTACCACTCTTTGAAATGTACGATGAAGAGACTATCTTTGTAGCGAAGTGACAGGCCCTTGATATACCCACACAGATGTCAGGTATAAGGATCACTCCACTGTCATCGTGAATTACTCATTATGCAGAGACATCTTTACCATGAATCACATCTATGACAAACACGGTACCCGTATCGTCTAGATCACATTCTAGCACTTTGACATTCAACGAACATGAATACCGCTCGCAACTCCTCGGCACACTCTCAATGAGTAACGATCTCTATGAGCACCTTGCGCTGCCTATATTTTGATATCAATCATCACATATCTTTCAAGAAAGAACTTCATTACTATGGATAAGAACAACAAGATTTTGTTGAGCAAAGAACAGTATTCTCCCATAACCAAGTTTAAAATGCATTAAGTTAAAGGCTTTTCAAATCTAATTCAAAACTTCAAATTTGGACATGCTGAGCATGAGTTGCGAAAGTTGGTAATCTAACAGATTGAGTATGATCGGTTATGGTTTTGATGTTATCTACATTAGATGATCAACGGATACGCACTAAAGTTTGCTAAAAGTGAAGGAACGACTTTTTCCTCTATCCTCCCTGTACATCAATAGTTCATTTTGATATTTATACCTTAGATAGTATAGAGTGTTAATTAGAGAAAGAGCACATCATTGTATAACTATAATAGTTTATTGGAGAACGTACACATGAATATCGACTCGTGTACTCTACATGACTATGACAAAATTTTATTGTTTTGATACAACACAATCGACAATGAGTGTTACGACATCATAGTGAACACTGTAACGAAACCTATGATGTCTACCATGATCTGATATATTCTTTCAATTTCATCTAGGTTATGATGAAACAACGCATTACTACAGAAATCCTAGACGGTATTATAAAAGAATTCTTGATTTTAACAATAACAGTACTACGTAGTAGATTTTATCATTGAATCGTGTCAAACATATGTTCAAAATTCTTCATCGCATTTAATTCGTTTTTCTGAGGCATCAACATTAACCTTAACCATGACTTGAGAGGAAAAACATTCCAAAAATGCTGATCCCGGACCTTTTGACCACTCTCAATATAAAAGTATTCTTTGTTTATCTGATGTCGTAATCATATATACAATTCATATTTTTTGTACATATGCGAAACATTTGGAAACTACATAGGATACCTAACAAAATGAACATCTGAATATCTTGGTTATCAATCTTTTTCTTTTCAATTCTTAAGACTGCTTGTTTTATCAAAACATGACTCAAAATACAAAGAAATTCCTAAATCTGATTTTCCAAAACATTTTTCATTATAAAATGACGTAACTGTTTACACATCTGTGTCTTGATATTTAAAGATGAGCTCTCATGATCTGTCAAGTATGTTCTCTTTTATAGTGCATGATCAATTTCAGCCAAACTTAACGTGGCAATACTCATGACAAGTTTACTGAAATTTACTAAATATTATTCAGAAAAATTTTCTTCGACGTATTCAAAGAAATAACTGTTTTGAACATCGTATATCGGAATAACGGACATGTTAATTTTCTATAGGAGACAATAAATTCAACCCTCAATAAACCCTGCTTTGATGAAGATTTGAATATTTAACTCTGTGTTACGGAACTCTTTCAGAAATGGTCTGCTTTGTGACAAATACAAAAAATGGAAGTAATTTACTGCAAAACGGTTAGGGCATGAAAATATTTAAATAGGAGCAGAAGAAAGAACTTTTTAAAGGAACTTAAAGCGGCTAGTTCGAGCTTTTCAGATCTCATGGTGGAAAACTTAAGTCGATGAACATTATGCTTTCGGCTAGATAGTTAAAGATCTTGCAGTATCATAGTATTTTTCACGCTAGTTTTAAATTTTTAAAATTTTGCAATAAAATACCCAATACATTTCTTGTATAGAATTTTAAGATCGATATTTTGCAAAGCCAATTATATCGATGATCAGAAATAGAAGAATTTCAAACTCGTCATTTTTCAATTCTAATAAATCGAATTTGATGTCTCTTACACCAAGTGAAAAACAATGATGTTCAGTGGACTGCATCACCAACACATCGACTTGTTAGGCTTCATAATGTGTGTCACACAGACTTACCATTCTTCCAAATGAACGACAAAGAAACCACTAGAATCAAGTGTTTTAGATTTGACACACAAGCGAGTTCCCGGCATAAGAACGACTTCTTCTTCTTGTCTGTTCCATGAGTACTCAGTAATGTTTTTGCCATTAATTGCATTAATGCAAAGCAAGGTGCCCTTTTGGTTTCCAAACATTTCAGCGACGCTGGTATGCGACGAACATGAGTTCACATTCCACCAAGTGAACATATCACCTTCATCGAAATTGGAGCCAATAATTTCCGCAATACCTCGCCATACCACAACCGAACGAGACGGTAACTTCGTAAGAGCGGTGATGAACAGTTTTAGAAAGTCGAGCCACGGTTCTAGCGCTGATGAGTTTTCAGTTCGAAGAGCTTCGTTGAGTGTCCGATAGAAAGAACTACTTCCCATTGTGTAAAGGTAGATAGCTGCCGATTCGTTTATTGTCAGTTGAGTATTTTTTGTGGGTGTGGGTGTGGGTGTGGGTGTGGGTGGG